TACTGCCCGCCGCTGGACCGCTATATATAGTTTCTGAATAGTGTCCACTTTCTTCTGTCTATAAGGGTCCCGGACAGCTGATGTATACTCTAGGTGTGGCCGAACGAGTTTTAGGTAAGCCATGTGTTTGGAGTCCTTAGAACAGGAATACAGATTTCTTCTCACAAAGCCAAGAGTTGTATTAGCCTTTTTAACAATAATTATGTTATTTACGTGCATGTTGATTCCATCTCAGGTCATCAGATAGCAAAACACCAAGATAAGGATGCTCTTTGACACTTGAAATGTTTTGGTTGTAGAGGGTATATTCCTTCAAGATTGGTGATTTTTTCCTGTAAACTTACATTTTATAACAATTTGAGGGATTAAAAGCCATTTGCCATCTTTCAGACCACATTCCCAACTTGATCAAATCCCGTTGCAAGGCTATAAGAGACTAGAGTGTCGTCTTCATATGTAACTTTACAATAGAGAAGGGCATCATCAGCAAACAATCTAAAAGTACATTCTAAATCATCTTGCAGGTCATTAGTAAACAGTAAAAACATTAGTGGACCAAGGACAGTACTTTGTGGCACACCTGATGTAACATCCACTGATTTAGAGCCATATTGAATTTTTCTTCGCAAACAATAGCTTACTTTGCACTTTCAACGGCACGTTTACGCCTCAGTAACCACAAAAATATTATTCCCGTCAATTAAGACATGCACACATATCGCACACTCAAGCGGCACCTGGGACGATAAACTTTTAAAATCATGATATTTAATGTAAACCTAGTTGCAAATTGGCTTTCAAAACACAAATTAATTTAAAATCGAAAAAAAATAACTATTTAAAACCAAGCTTAACGTTTGTAAATATGACTAAGCCACAATGGTGGGATAAATCCACTTGTTGAAGTATGCCATGGGCAAAAATACACAGATTAAATACTCTAAATATGCGTCGCCATTTTTGCAAAATACGGAAGAAACCAGGCAAAATAGGCTGCTATTGGCGTCGCAATTATCTCTATTCTAAACTGACAATAATGTAAACACTAATAAAGATGAACACTTACGTTAAGAGTTGTTGTGTGGCTTAGGCGGGTTCATTTCAGCCATAGATCAGTATAAAAAAAAACAAAAAACAAGAACAAACACATTATCAAGCAACAGACATGAAAAGGTAAAAAAAAACTCATTCAAAAGCATAGGAAAATCAACAATACTTACGCCATCATTCGCTATTGTCGACATCACGATTTGAAAATACGTTTCAACATCTCTCAAGCAAAAAAAAAGGCCTTTCAGCCAATCAGCGGGATGGAAACATGTCATGTGACTACAGTTTCCTGTCCAGTTATTTTACAATCCATGGTAAAACATACCAACGTACGATACACGAATATTTATATAATAACTTATTGAATTCTGATCGTTTAATTGGCTGTTTATGATCACGTGATATTGAATAGAAAATTCCATTTCCCAAGAGTGCAATGGAATACGTTCCATTGCACTCTTTGCGAGTGCAATTGTACTATACGTTTTATTCCATTGCACTCTTTGTGTTTTCGATAAATCGAATCCGTCAAAATGATTCTCATACGAATCTTTTAGTCTATTTTGGTATTATATAAAACAAATAATGAATGTTTATTCGTGCAATGGTAAGAATATTTTCATTCGGTGATAGATGGAATATTCCATTCAACTCGGCGGTCGCCTCATTGAATGGAACATTCCATCTTTCACCTCATGAAAATATTCTTACCATTGCACGAATACACATTCATTATTAAATGTTGTATAATAGCTAATTCAAAAAAGGTTGTCCTTCGAAAATCTCAAACCTTAAACTCTAAGCGCGCAAGGAGTAATGGGTAACTTCTTACTTAACGCCTAAAACGTGCGGATTTTGGATTCCAACTATGGCAAGACAGATAATAAGCACTTAAGATGTACAACTAGCAGTGTACTAGGATTATTTGCCCAATCAAATGCCCTAAAAAGAAGTTACCCATCACTCTTTGCGCACTTAGAGTTTAAGGTTTGAGACTTTTGAAGGACAACCTTTTTTGAATTAGCTGTATACATCGGCCTTTCTTCGACACAGAAGATAAAACATAGCGTGTTCGAAGGTCATGTGATAACCGTCCAATCATATAGCTCATAAACATAATACTTAATTTATCCGTTAATATGAAATGTTATTACCTATTTTTAACAGTTTATTGTCGAATACGGATGATAAAGTAATCCGTTTCTATTTATATCGTGTTCTTATTGTCTTGCTTTGAAAGCCCCTCATTTCAGTCCAGCTCCTCCGTCCTGATCAAGTGTTTCCTAACGAGGAGGCCAGGTTGCTGAGCTGCTCTTGTGGCAACGATCCGCATGGGGTCTGAACGCTTCTGCCGAAAATGGAATTTTGAGTTTTGGATAAACAAAGTTCTTTGTGTGTCACGGGAATTGCCCAAATTGTGAACAAAGCCAAAGAGGAACGTTCATATACTATTGATAGGCGACGTGAAATTTATTGCTATGCAACGATTCTGAGGAGGAGAGATATTTCAATTGAACTCGATGTCAAAGAGTGTATCTGATAAGTGGTCAGCCTTCTACTTAAAGCAATCGCATCAACTAGACTCAGAAACACAACAAATACATTCTATTATAATTAAGTAAGTAACTAGTTAGATACATTTTTTACATGTATTGTTGATATTTTTTTGATTATTTCGTTAAGTATTATAACGTATAAATATTCCGTTTAAATATTCAAAATATATCGACCATTCAGACAGGCGGCCGCCTGTGTGGAGATTGCTCATGGAGCTACCACATTGGCGAAACTGGCAGAGCATTCAACACCAAGGAACGTCAACACAGGAGAAATGTAAAGCTCTGTAAAAGTGGTTCAAATATAGCTAATTACGCGTGGACAAACAACATAAAATAGATTTCAATAGCGGGAAAGTAATTGGGAAAGGCAACTATCGGCACAGAGAAACACTTGAATCATGGCACAGCCGGCATGCACAAAAAACTCTGACAACAATTCAAAACATTTACCGGAACAATACCGCTTTTAGCCTGCTCACAGACCCTGCCCGAAAATTTGAAACGGATTTACGGTTTTCGTTTGAACGAAATTTTGGGCTGCGAGCAGGCTATACCGCGCTTTTTACTGAGCAAGAAACTTTGAGTATTATTTACGTGTAATTTAAGTCATTGATCCCGTATACCGTTATATAGGCGAAAATATCAATTTTGTCATTTTGTATATCCATATATAATTGTAAACCGTTGTAATTGTCACAATCTTATTGTAATCCACCCGTTGAAGGCTGTAGTCGAAAGCTCGTACTATAAATAAATATTTAAAACCAAAGAACGTCTACAAACTTATTATGAATAATCCTGGTTTGGCTTCAAACATATTTAAATTATTATCTAATTCGTTAAAATGGGTGCAATCAGCACAATAATTGCATGTTTAAGGATTTCAGTGTGATGTTGAAGAACATCATTCACAATAAAATTCCTGTTCGCAGTCTGTTCTGACATAAATATTTGTGCTATTTATACAATTACTAGTGGAAGTAATATTCACAAAACGCGGAACACGACCGTTACCATCTATTGCTTACAATCTCATTTTACAATAGCGAATAATCATAATTTAACAGCTTTTATGAACACCACAAACAAAAGGTATTAATTGTAAACATGTTTCGGCATTTATCTTATGCCCTCTTGTCATATTCATTCTACAAGGTTAGGGACCGATCATTAATTACAGGGGAGGGGGGGGGGGGCTGGTGGAAAATGAGGGGGGGTTCAGATATTTTGTGCATAAAAAAGGGGGGGGGCAAAAATTTTTGTGCAATATAAATACCTGCCCCGCATGACCCCGCCCTACTATAAAACCAACAGATAAAAAATAGAGAGCAGTAGAACTGTAGTAAACTCCAACACAACACCATTTACTAAACTGATTTCAACATAAACATGTACATTTGAACAGCTTTGGACTCAACAAATGGTAACTATATACTGTATAAATTACGGTACATGTATACAGGGCATAGTTGCATAGGTATAGAAGACTCTGAAAATGCCATTTCCAACGATCTAGAGACTCCATATTTCCAAAATTTTTCAGCTCAGCGCCAACTATGGTGGTGCCTTATGGGTCCCCCAAGGCAAAATCTCACCATAGTCTCACGGATGTTTTTTCCCAAAGTTGGCAACTATGATAGGGTAGTATGATTAAATGTGGCTTCACTTAATAGGAACTTCAAATTTATACGAATGTCCCTTTTGTTATTTGCATGAGGGGGGGGGGGTCAAGTATAATTGTGTTATCCTCAAGGAGGGCGGCAACAAAATTTTAGCATCTAATATTTCATTTCCACCAGCCCCCCTCCCCTGTAATTAATGACCGGTCCCTTACATGTAGAAGTTGCTATAAGTTTGTTGCTAGCCCGATCACTTGGAAAGTCATTATATACTATTGAATCGAACGCCATACAATGCAAATCCCGTCCAGCTATTTACACAAATATATATATATATATATATATATATATATATATATATATATATATATATATATATATATATATATATAACGAAAAGCAATGCCAATGCAGAGTGAAAAACTACATTAAGGCAAAGGGCTGTATCCTGGAGTCAGTTAAATGAATTATTTCAGGTCTAAAACAGTCCGTGTACATGTTAATTTGAAAAAGGATATTATTGATAGTTTAATACATCTATATATGACAACTTTAATAATTCTTCTGTAGCATAAACGAAAATAACTGGGTTCTGGGGGAGCTGTTTAACGATGTGTTTCTCGTTTAGGAATTAGTGCTTATTTAAAAGCTTTCGTAATAAAAGAACCTAATAAAGAATTGCATAATCTTCATGGCAAAGTGAAATTAATATGTACATTGGACAATAGCACCGGCAGAGTTGGCCGATATGATATATTGTGGTATACACTAGATTGGTACAAGCTTGGCTCGAATAGACAATGGTACATGCTTGGCTCGACTAATGGACATCGGACTAACGAAACAGGACTTACTGTTACAGACCTGCGAGTCCTGCCAAGAGGACCTAATCCTGAGGGGCTATGTCTTTCGCTTGATCGACTGACCGGGGAAGCAGAGGGAATCTACAAGTGCGTGGTAAGGCGAATTGCTGTCAACTATTACGATTCCCAATTGGTTAGCATAATGCTGAAAGGTAAGTTGATATAAAATATAATAAATGTTTAAATTAACCTATAGTCCTAATTTTATTCTCAAATAATTAATCCCCAAGTCAAAGAGCCAGTTCCAGTCCCTTTCAGTATTCATGCGAAAATCGCGGTCACTAGGTCAACATGAATATGTATTCTTGAAAACCGGCATAATATTTAATACAAAAAAGCTCTTTAACAGCGGGCAATAGCTTTCTATTAATGCATTTATTCAGGTAAAACGTCATGCAGACCTTATCAGTTACTTTTCCTTATTTTTTCCTAATAACTGTTTATTGAAACTGAAAGAGCATGGTGCGAAGGGAAGGTGCGAAGCGTTTGTGGTTGAAGCCGTTTACAACTGTATTTTGATCATAAAACACGCCAGAAAAAGCTTTTCAACACCGGAAAACCATGGACTAAAAAAGATAGTGAAGGTTTGTTTGACGTTACCATGGGCAGCCATGATGGCGCCGAAATATGTGAATTAGTTGGCCTATACTATTTATCCTAAATCACCTAAGTAAAAAGTTTGGCAAAAAAGCATCGGCCTATATAGAGACGACGGTTAACGTTTGGCCTTTATAAAAAGTAAATCGGCACGTTTAACAGACAAAACGAGGAAAGAACTCCACAAAATTTTCGAGCTGTTTGACCTAAAAATCACCGCCGAATCAAATTTACGCATAGTAAACTTTTTAGATGTAACTTTCGATCTTAACAACGGAAAATATATACATAATATAGGTACTCTAACCATCCACCTAGCATTATAAGGCAGCTACCTACATCAATTAACAAGCGCATTGCACTGCTTTCATCAGATGAGCAAACATTTATGGAATCTGCACCTGCATACCAAAACGCACTTGACCATACCAACTTCAATCATGATCTTAACTACACTCATCGATTTAAATTGTTACTTTTTTCTACCACTAAGTAATGATACATTATTGTTAATAATTTTTTATTTTTTGGATGCTCAGAATGCAGGAAATAGCATTTCCGGGTTTCAAATTTCAAAAATTTTCTGGGGATTATCCCTCTAATAAGTAATGATAAATTACAGTTAATATTCTTTTTTACTTTTTGTGCATTTTTTCCATCTTTTATTTCAAATACAAGTATAGTTAGCATAAATTTTAGAGCAAATTTGGATGCTCAGAATGCAGGAAATGGCATTTTCGTGCTTCAAATTTCAAAAATTTTCTGGGGGAGTACACCCCCACACACCTGACCATTGCCATCCTCCTCTAATAAGTAACGATAAATGATGGTTAATTTTTTTTTACTTTTTGTGCGTTTTTTCCTCTATTTATTTCAAAATATACAAGTATAGTTAGCATAAATTTTGGAGCAAATTTGGATGCTCAGAATGCAGGAAATGACATTTCCGGGATTCAAATTTCAAAAATTTTCTGGGGACCACCCCCATTCATGCGTGGTATATTGGCCACATACGTAGCCTTCAGCCATTGCTATCCCCCTCTAATATATTATCTCACAGAAAAGTCCCTTTTCAAAAAATGCCCCCCCCCCCACGGGAAAATCCTTAAAAAAGGCCCTGAGAAATAGGCAACGTAATATCATTTGGTTCAATCCACCATTTAGCATGAATGTCAGCACTAATATAGGGCGTAATTTTCTTAACCTTATTGACAAGCACTTTCCATCGCACCACAAGTTGCATAAGATCTTTAACAGAAATACAGTAAAAGTAAGTTATAGCTGCATGAGCAATGTTAAGTCTATAATCACTAAGCATGACAATGCACATATAGCTAGGAAGAACAAGGCACAGGGCAAGGGCACTGTCAATTGCAGTTGTTCGAAAAACGCAATATGCCCACTTCAGAAACAATGCATGCATGACTATTAGGACATTGATACAAAGCAACAGTCACAACAAGCAACCCTAACACGATCATGAATTATATTGGCATGACATCAACTACATTTTTGGCTAACCTTAACTATACTCTCGAGCATAAAGAGCACTCAAACAAAACTGAACTTTCGAAATATAACTGGACATTGAAAGATATTAACAAGAAAGATTTTAATATCAATTGGCAAATTTTGAAACGCGCTATTTCGTATACGGGAGGATCAAAACGATGTAATTTATGTTTAGAGGAAAAATTTTGTATTTTGAAAGAAAACCAAAACTGTTTACTCAATAAAAGAATGGAAATTATATCTACGTGCAGACATAGGAAGAAATTTCGCGTAAACAACGCAAACAATACACTCCCACAATTCGATTAGGTATTTCCGCGTAAACAACGCAAACAATAGATGAATGCATGCAGCTTTGTTTCACCCACACACACCCACGTTTCGGCAAAAACACATATAAGCAGCCCAGGCCTAGACCTAGGCCTTCTAGTCTTATTTATATTTTTTTAATATTCAGCGCTTTTTCACATGAAAAGACTGGGACTAGGTGATTTGGGGGCGGGGCGGAGGAACCAAGCCTAGAAGGCCTAGTGGATTTCCCAACAACAAGGCCAAAACTGCCCTGAAACTGCCCTGGTTGCGAAATGCCCAATTATTGCGTTCTCGAACAGAATTATTTGCAACTTAACGGCGAATTCGAATTTAAACCGATACAGGTAGAATAAACTCGTTTATAGTATAAACTTACTATTTTTATTTGTATACACGTCTATAAAAACGGGTTTTTTATCATAAAGTTCGAAGCAACACTATATTATTTAATATGTTGACAAGGTGTAGCGAAAGCACAAAATGAGTCAATATATATACCAAAAGTAGAATCTTTCATGAAATTTTGTCTTATACACAACTACATTAATATATATTTTCTCAATTTTGGCAAGAAGCAGTCTTGTGTTTGTAAAATATACAAAATAAAATGGATACATATATTATTAGCCCGTACAGTACTGTATATAAAAACGTACATTGTTTACAAATGGTATATCCGTAATATTTGAACAATAATTTCAAAATCCTCATTCCCAATTCGCAAATATAGTTATTCAAAGCAAAACAGTAGATTGTCTTGCGAATAAAAGAATTATTATTTTGTGCCGTTTCGCTGCACCTTGTCAACATTATATAAATAGTGTTGTTTCAAACTTTATGATAAAAAACCCCGATTTTCTAGACGTGTATACAAATAAAAATAGTAAGTTTATACTATAAATGAGTTTATTTTACCTGTATCGGTTTAAATTCGCTGTTAAGTTGGAAATAATTCTGTTTGAGAACGCAACAATTGGGCATTTCGCAATCAGGGCAGTTTCAGGGCAGTTTTGGCCTTGTTGTTGGGAAATCCACTAGGCCTTCTAATTTTTCGCTTGCGTCAGGCTTGTGTCCTTCCTCCGCCCCGCCCCCAAATCACCTAGTCCCAGTCTTTTCATGTGAAAAAGCGCTGAATATTAAAAAAATATAAATAAAAATAGAAGGCCTAGGTCTAGGCTGAAGCAGCCCTATTTTCGAAACTTGTCATACCGCTTGATGATTCTTTACTGATGAAACAGACTGTTTCGAAATTTTGAGGTAAGCGAAATTCTACATTTGCTCTATTTTTATGATATTGAGCACTCTTTGCGTTTCGTACACAATATATATATATATATATATATATATATATATATATATATATATATATATATATATATATATATATATATATATATATATATATATATATATGTAAGTTGTGTAATTGTACACTCTGTAATATGTTAAGATGAAAATGTTCTAGAGTGTGTATTATATAATTTCCATACCCAGCGCAAGCAGAAAGATGTTGTCTGCCGCGGTTGGGTCTCGAACTCGCGACCTTCGAATTACTAGATCGACGCTCTACCTACTGAGCTACACGGTCAGACGGATTTAAGACTGGAAATTATGAAATATATACTGAATGTCATAAACATACTCGTTTATATTAATTCAGCATCGAACAATACTAGTTCTGCAAGTGTTATGTTAGTTGTGTAATTGTACACTCTGTAATATGTTAAGATGAAAATGTTCTAGAGTGTGTATTATATAATTTCCATACCCAGCGCAATATATATATATATATATATATATATATATATATATATATATATATATATATATATATATATATATATATATATATATATATATATATGTTGTCCAATTTTCAAAATTACAAGAAAAATAAAATAAATTTATCCAATTTATTACGCTCAAATTCACTACTAGCACATGTACATGTACAAAGACTTGAATCGGGACTAACTCTTTTTCCGCAATTGCAGATCCGAGTTTTATCCCAACCGATCCGAAATTATCAAGGTCGAGGTAAGTGTTATCGGTCGAGCAGAAAGCACGTGATAAAGGCGAGAATTAGGTTTGGATTGTCAATTAGTCCCCGAGCCACCGGCGCGGAACGCCGTTCTGCGCGTAAGCCCGGGGCGAGAGTATTAATTCCGCCCGGCTATTTACACCAGAGAAAACGAAATCATTAGCGAAGTCTGAAGTTCATCAATGATCGCGAGAGTGTGTCACCGTGCGTGTTGGGTGAGTGGTCATTCTCACTGATCTCAAAAATATGGCTAGCGAACACTCATGGATAGCGAACACTGATTGGTCAACTTTAAAATTTGCATTATAACGACTACATGACGACAGCGAAATAGCAAACATTTGAACATTTCTTGATTTGATGATTTCTTGCAAATATATTTCATTTTTGCAGATTTTGTAAATTTCAAAAGATTTTTTAAGAAAATAAAGGCGAAAGAATTGCTAAAAGAAGGGAGTAAAGGCGCCGACGTTAACGAAGGTATAGGTTTGTTTTAAATATTGATGTATTGTTCGCCTTATAATTGCTTTAAAAGCTGATCGTTGCGTATAATTTAAATGAAAAAGACAGCATATAATTTCAGTGTTTCTTTATTGATTACCCTTTTTTATTGTATTAAATTATTTAAATAAAAAAGAAAGCAACGTTGTTTTAATGGCATACTTTGAGATCATTTTATATTTTTATTTG